CACTACCAAAAAAACGTCCAGTTTTGAAATGCTTCTTGATTCCAATCATTACATACATAATCTGTTGATCAATTTTATTCTGTTAGCACACTCAGATATGTACTAGTTTTCTATCTTTTTTAAAGCCGATTATTTTCTGGAAGTTAAAGAATAGTGTGTAACAGGTTACACCAAGCACGATAATTCGTTTTTATGCCATATAACAAAGAACGAATGGCGGAACGATAATAAGGAGTTTTAAAGATAAGTTAAGAAATCTCCTCATTAATTAGTCACTTCGTTGTGTTTGACTGGAGACATGACAGATTTCCAATGACCAGTTTGATTTAACCTCTTCTCCAACATTCAAAAAATGTTTCCCGACGGATATAGCATATATGCAGCAGCTTTATATCGGCCATGATCTAAATATTGCAAGTGAAATTCATTTGGATAACTTTTAGCATATGCTTCCGTGCACATTGTTGAAGCTGTTCACGAAATGATAACAAAGAATGGCGAGTTAATTTTAAATTTCATATTAATTTAGACTACATTCAAATATGTTCAACATGGAACCCAGGAAAACGGTTACTGGACTTCTTATAAGATTGGCTTTTCGATATCAAAAAATTTCATACTGCTTTCATCACAAATACTGTACAAATATCCTAATTACACCAAAGTAAAGTGAAATAAGAAATCATAATTCTAGAAAAGAAGACACACTTCTGCAGAGGAGAAAAAGTGCAAGCGAGACACTATCCAAAATATTAAACCTCCACTAATACTTTTTATACATACGTTGTTATAGAGTGTCATAAATATAAAAGTTTAAACCTATACCGACTGACTGATTTCGAGATTTTCGACACGAAATCACTTACTTGGCTAACGCAACAATGATTTATTGCGGAATTATCGATATTGGGGTAGTTTCAAAACGTCAATAACGATCAGAAAATTTCATCGCCTTTTTTTCTATAATCTATAAGAATTGCTATAATGCATTATTTTTTAAATACGTCTTGAGTGATTCGTTTAATGCATTATAAACTTTATTATCGAATCCCAAATGCAATATTCGTTTAACGCAATATAAACATGTAATGTTAATATTGGATGACAAGAACAAACAAAATTCCGCCGTAAATGGGAAAAGCATGGTCAAAAATTCTGATAGTTTCAGAAGCACACTTTTTTCTTGGAATTAAGTTTGAACCCCATGAGTTTTTAAAAAATCTATATTATATATACAATGCATTCATATTTTTTGTATTAACAACCATTGGATTGAACTTACTAAGAATCAAAATAAATAAAGAAAAGTTGCTCAGTGGAATGCTTACTAGTGGTAAGCAAACATTTAACAACCAATGTGACATGAGTGCAAATAATAGGACACAGAATAAAATCTGAACAGTCTATATCGATTCTTAGCAACCTGCAGATTTTTTTGAGTGATTTGTTTAATACATTACAAACTTTATTATCCACTGTGAGTAACATAGTAACATCCCACTATAAAAAACGCACCGGAACATTAGTATTAATAAATAATATCACAAAGAAATGGTTTATGATTCACATTTCAGTAATGTTATCCAACAACTCATAAGAAGCTACTCATCCTATCACTAATGCAACTCATACACTAATTGGTATGAAAGAAATAAAATAAGAAATATGAAATACATTCCAAATAAACTTTATTATACTTTATATGTTGAGCAATATATGTAATACTAAACATTCCACCTTCCTTAGCTTACAATATTTTACTCACCTGTTCTTCCGTTTCAAATGCCAAACTCGAAGTGAACGTTTCTGTAATGAATGCTCAGTTTTTGATGGAAATGAAAATATGATATGCATAGGAATGTGCTCTTACAATAAGATTCTTTACGCTACCAATGATAAATTAAACTCTTGCAATTTTATATTGTAAATAAATAACCATCACTATCAATTTCTGATAATTAATTTCACGATAAAACTGTAAACCATGAGTTCAAAGTTCATTTCATATTTGAGTCGTTATAATCGCCGAAAAAGTATTCGATGAGAAGCTTTGCAAACCACAGACTCAAGTAACATGAAATAGCTAGCAGAGATCAATGGGCATATCAAAAGCAATGCTTTCCAACAACCGAATAACGCTCCTGCTAAACGCTCTGAAAATATTTACCGTTTGATATGAAATGTGATATCTATTTTATAGAAAAAATTTCGAGAATTAAAACATAAATCGAAAGGATCAACTCGTATAGAGTATATCATATAATGTGGTGAATTTTGACCTTAGCAAAAAGTGGCAGGATTCTGCAAGAGTGTGGTGATGCCGATGGTTTAAACAATATCAACCATTAGTTTGAGTGGTTCGTAATATGATTAAATTTTTAAGATTAAATTTTTGGATCTTTTGAAAAGTTCATAGGGCAAAATCCAGGAATAGCAAACGATTGTTTGTACAAGGCAAGGTAGACAAGGCTGAACAATATTAAATGAAATGTTTCCCCCGGAAAATATCGATCGATCCTTGAATTCATATGTCATTCATTTCCATGTTATTTTTGCTTCCTTTTAAAGTGGACAGATTATACCAGAAAAGCTATCTGAATTTTCGAAAAAAGAATCCAAAGAAAAATTTTAGATTCATTTGGTACAGCGGTAACTCAAACCTAAATGAAACCCAGCAAAACATCGACTTTCCCTTATAATGAATTAGCTTTAGAATAAAAACTAAGCATACTGAAATAGTTGATAAGAACGTTGAAATCGACAATGGTTCATGAAAAATATCTACCAGGCTTATTGTGAGCTGTGTAAGGCAACAGTTGAGTCATAGGCCCTAAACGTTGAAGCATCACAATAAGTCAGAAGCGTTTGACGTGACGCAACAGTCACTCTCATCTAGATCTGCCTATTCCTCTACTCATTATGTAAGACATATGAGGAATTCATATGCAAATATGGAGAGGGAAAGAGAGAGAAAAAAAGAGAAGAAAGAAAAACGGAAGACAAAGGACTAATCTGAAATTCGATGAAAGTAACTGCTGATAAGTAACTGCTGATCACATCACCTAATATTCACAGTTCAAAAGTTATTTTACACATTCATTAGCAGATAACACTGCACTCCACTGCCTTATCACATCTACTGCACGCCATTGTTAGATCACTATGATCATTCCACTCTTTGTTATAAAAATCATGGCGTATCTATTCCTTCAATCTAATCTTGATCTTACTTAAATTTCTCTGATAAACAAACCAGCCATCTTTGATGCTTAAATGATATCCTTCTAATTCACTTCAAGCATTTCCCGTACCTTTATAGTATGGAAGAGCAAGTGATTTAATAATCAGTGAGACCATAACATCAAATAGTTACAACTTATTTCATTCTTTCCTCTTCGTCAAACGCTTACACGTATGAAAGGCACTATTGACTAACACAGATCTATACTGAACGAAACGTGTGGAAACACTTTTCCTCCCCGTAAATAATCTGGAAACTTGTTTTTCATAATAGACTTGTTTTTTCTTTCATAATTTTTCATAATGTTTGTTTTATAACTTGTTTCTCTCCTCTCTCTCTCCCTCGTAAATACTATAATTGACCTATCATTAGCAAAACATAGTTCACTAATTTTTGACATTATAGTGATTTTTGCGACTTCTTTGGAACTCTTTTGATACGAATTCACATTTCAATTATCATTGAAATTCAATTTCTATGAAATAAGTCGAAGGTTTCAAATCGTTTAAATTTTAGAATAATTTTGCCGTTGTAATTGCTCAGATTTTTTAAATCAATGCATCATAGCAATTGTTTCATGTGACAAATGTGAAAAATACTGAAAAGTTAGAATTGACACTGGGAACTTCAATGAACATAACATTGTAATTTAATTATCAAAATGAATAATTCAACATTTTGTGCTGAATTATTTGCTATTAACAGTAGCATTTAAAAAAATCACAATTGCCAGAATCTAATGTCTACCGGATACGGAAAAACATTTGCTTTTCAAGAAAAAGAAAAATAAGCATTCGAATATTTTTTTATCTATACAACAACTTTTGATCTTCACAAGAATTTTAAAAGTATCGTTAACAAAACGACTAATTAATTTATAATTTGCAACAAATTTTAGTACTAACAAATAAAATCTTACATCAACGAAATATTTAAGATTTTGGCAGACTTAATGTGCTTTCGAAGGAATTATTAGATTAAAAAGCTATTGGATAGTTGTTAAAGTGTTTTAGCACTTAATGGACATCAATAAGAACATTTTAAATTCAAAATTAATTTTCAAATTCATACAAATAAAAATTACAGCTTATTTGGTCGAAAATGAACAGAACGTATTGACTATTTACTTTTAGCAAAAATGTGTTGAAGAAAACTTAGAATTGATGCAAAAAGTTTTATTAAAATTAAATTACTTACATTGATTAATGATTAAAATTTAATTGTACTAATAGTTTTACATTATGATGCAGCGAATTCGAGTTATCCCACTAACAACTGTTTATTTCGCTAGCCTTTGTCCACCATTGGTTATTTGTTTTTATTCATACATTTGAAATCTTTGAAATAAGATAAGTTAAGCTCAGTAATATATTTTTATTATTAGCAATGTATGCACTTTACGATTTCATTTCATTCAAGCGCTGTTTATTGAATTTTCAAACATGAATTGAGTTTTGTGAATTGACCTAACAACCTAAGCTTTATTATTTATTTATTTCCAATGAGACTATCATTTTTTCAAATTAATGTTCCCTTTTTATTTCATTAATTTTCCTTTTTTATATTGTTCCCTTTTTATTTCCACCTTATCTAAAATGGAGATTTGTATCTTTGTATTGGTACCAAAATGTAGTAAAAGAATCACAATTGTTAAATTGAATTTCACCCTAAATTTAAAAATATTCAAATTTATTTTCAAAAATTGAAGAGTGGAAAATATTAATATATTGCCATCACATATATATATACAAAGATGAGTTTAGGTGATACTTAAGAGCTTTAAAAGGTTCCAGGCGCAAGATTTATCGGGCGCATTAGAAATGGCATTAGTAATTGTTTCTCCCAATTGTCGCAAGTCATTGCCAGAATGATCATATGGTGCTTTTCCTTCAACAAATATATCTAACATTCCTTCTAGCTCTTCCGAAGTGGCAAATGTTGAAATATTTTGCTAACAAATTTGAAAATATGAGCGATTCTTTGTCCATCACATCTCTCATCATGTCAAAACTATTTATAATACAAAAAATATATTTACAATATAAATTTCGTTTTACTTATTTTAATTCCGTTTTATTTGTTTATATTCATGATACAAATATTTTTATAATTTAATTTCTGGCAATGAATTTCATTTTCGGCAATGATTTCAAAATTTCTGGCAGATGAATTTCAGATTTCATCATGCGTCCCAACCTATTTTCATAGCTATAAACTGTTTAACTTTACCGAAATCATTTACTGTCTTAGTCATACTGTGTGTGTAAAGAAAATTAAATTCAAAGAGCGAATTTTCTTTAAAAAAAGCATTTTTTCAATTGGTATATATACAAAAAATTAGAGAACCACATAAAAATCTACACACTATTTAGACTATTTCAGTAGCATGACCAAATAAGTGAAATCTAAGACTATAAAATTGTTTCATTCTTGCATTATATCACGGCTTTATTGAAGTTGAATTCAGTTCCAATCAGAGCTAGAAAGATAACAAGATGACTGACTGAATAACGAAGATGGTAATAGGTTTAACCAAATGAGAAGCCGCTTTGTAGTGCAACACATCCTAAACGTACTGACATAGAAAACAACCACAGCTTTTCGAAATGAAAATTACAGCTAATTTTTAAAACATGAATTTTAATTACGACCAACTGTCGTAATAAAACTATTTATGCAAAAATTGCAATTCTTACATGACTTCAAATCTTTCGCTTCAAATAAAAGTGGTTTTCAATTTTCAATTCAGTATATTCTATCCGTTTAAAAATGAAGACAAAATACTGCAGAATTGCATGGCAAAAAAATCTATAAACTGCGTATAAATAAATTAATTTCCTTATATGAATAGATGAAGAATATATTGCAAATGGATTAAACATAGCGCACCAGTGAAGAAATTGTAAGACAAACAAATGAAAAGATATACTTGGGTATCATAAATCATCAACTTAAAAACTTTGAAGTTGACAAGATAAAGATAATTAGCAATGAATATAACTATCATTAAGGCTATTATTATTGATTGTAAAAAATGAAATAGTGGCTAAATAAAACGAAATCATGCCTGAATTCTGCATATAAATTAAACACGACTATTAAAACAAAATACTTGAGTTTATTTTTTTTAAAAAAAATAATAATACTTGAGTTTCTTAAATTCTACTTTTCAAGTTCAAAAAAAAAAAAATCGATGTAACAAAAATTCATCTAACTGCACTGTAAAAACTGTTTTGCCATTATTGGGAATCAAAATTAAGGATCTTGCAGATCACAATAATCTTTCATCATCTCTTTGGAAAAAGTTGCGCTTAATAATAATCCAAATAAGATAAAGAATCAATCAACAAAAATTTTAAGCAACCAACCGACCATTTCTTGATCTGATAAAATTGGAGAGATAAAAAAATTGAGTTATTATAAAATACTATTAATAAATTACCAAGATCATTGTACCTCAAAAAACAAATTAAATAATAACATCTATACTTTAGTTTCCGACTTCTGATTATCCAACAGTGGCGTTTCCTCGTTATTCGATTGTACATTGGCGTTTGCTGATTCTGGTTTAGTGACCCGTATAATTATTGCATCATCATCCTCTTCATTATCATCTGGAATCTTCACATCAGGCGTTGATCTGAAAACTCGATATTTGTTAAAATAAAAAATATTTTTCCAAATCTTGCAAGATAAATAGAGGCCAAACTTTTTAAACGTTCAGATAACCACATGTTTTTTGTGGCCTGTTCAAAGCGTGTTTAACAGCAAAGTTTGCAGGAATATTCACTGGATTCACGTAAATGTAGGACAACAAATTTGCATCATTAACTTACAGCAAGTAAATTTAAAAAAATCAGTACAATAATTAAAGTTCACTATGAACGTATTAACAATAAAGATAAATAGAGGCCAAACTTTTCAGCCTTCGTCACGATTGTTTTTTGGCTAAATTTCAATAATCGGTGATCCATGATTCCAAAGAATTAATCAACGCTATATTTTAAAGATCGCAGTCTCATCTTTCTTCGTACTTTTCTGTTTCCAAATTCTAATCATCAAATATACGCATTAATTGCAAATTATTTTTATCAAATTTTTGCATCAAATCTAATGTAACGGCTTCAAAGTCACAAGTTATTCAGACTTAACAATGATTATTATCTGCCTCATCCTTTCAATGGTGAGTTAAATTGAAATTACAATGTAAAAACTTAAGGAACGCAAGAGACATTATAATTGCCTTATAATTTATATTAATTTAAGTTGTAATACTTTTAGTAATAAAAACATTATGAACCTTCCCCATTATTATTAGGGCTCAAATTTCTAAAATCAATAAACTTCTCATTTATCATTCTGCAAAAAAAAAGTTTGAAAAGTTTGTTATGAAAAAATTTCACCAACAACTGCTAGTTATTCTGTAATGTGCTTTCGATGAAGATACATTTTGCTATCCCCATATAATAGAAAATGTTGGAAGAAACGCAGAAGATGTAGAATAGCTTTTGTAAATTGGCTGTGATCGAATCTTCCACTGGTTCATGTCTACATCTAACTGGCTCGGTTGGAAGTGACATTATCCAGTCGATATTTCTTTTATCGTAATAAACAAATAATATTGCATGACAAATAAATTTGGAGTGAAAAAGAAATTTCTTTTAAACTTCTATTGGTCACTTTATGGAAATACATAACACTCACGCAGCTGTTGTGGAAGACAACTGATTCGCTCCCAAAGTGATATGCTTCCACATTCCAGTTCTGTTTACTTCATTCGAAATATTCATATTGTGGATATTATGCGAAGGCTCTTGAATTGCTGCTAGAGGAATCTTGATTATTTCCCCACTTGCTGTTGGAATATGCAAATGTGCTTCTGTCTTCACTGCATGTATCGTACCTTGATTCTCTTCCAGATCTATGTCGAATTCTTCCTAAAACAGCGCTCATTTCAAACTTAATGTAGTAAAACCATTGCAAACTGTTTCATGTGATATTCGAAATTCATCCAGAAAGATATGTTCATCACGAGTGATGAAGCAAATTAATGCGAACGCACCACTACACTTTTCTTTCTCTTCATATCCTCCTTCTTTCTCAAATGGAAATCAGGCATCTTATCGTCCAGATAACGCAAATCTTTCTCCGTGAAGAATTTTTCCATAATCTTGCGAACAGCAACCATAACCACCAACTAAAAAAAAGCACTCATGATATATAGAAGCCCGAATGTAAAATTACAATCATTTTTTAACTGAAATATAGTATTATAATAAAGTTTTTATAGCAGTTTTCATTGGTAGTTTAAGAAATTTCAATGAAAATCGTAATATGTATTTACTTTTAAGCTAAATAATGTATTCAATATTATGATATCGCGTTGACGTAACATTTTAATAGTTAGCGAGATTTAAGAATCTAAATAAATTTAAATGAAAGACAATACCATAATTGGAAAAGCAATAGAAGTTCGCTTGATAGATTTGACGGTCCACAAAACTGCAAGACAGGCTACCTGGCAGAATGTGAACTTATGAATCACAGATATTGGCACATGTCGAATGTAAATTGTATCTGGCTGGTATCTAGAACTTATGACTAGTTATGAAACATAAACTTGAAAATCTTCAAGACTAGTTATCCGGTATTAGGACATCTGTATAATTTAGAAAACGGTTACATATTTGACATTACCAGATTATTCGGAAGATCGAAGATCGAAGCACAAGGTCCTTATTGACATAGTTATTACTTACTTAAGTAGAAATGAAGCAGGTTTAATTAATATTAGAAAATTATGTTTGAAATGGATTTGAAACATCGTTTAAAAAGTCAAAAAATAAAAGAAAGTTTGAAAAGATGATTCTAAAACACAAACTTCATTGGCATTAGTAAGAGAAGAATTCTATCGAAGAGTTGTATGCCTCCAAGCGCAGCGATACCCATGTATAAGAACACACCATATAATACAGGCATTGGTATATGGCTCAACACACCCGTCATTAGTACTGAAGAGCCAATAAATATGAAAGTAATGATACCAGTTACTCGCTGTTCTCTAAAAATTTTTACTAATAGTTTTTTGACAAAAAGTGTTATTTTTGAAGTCATTCATATAAATCATTCGAATTGCTTTAAATTACATTTGTCAAATCACTCAATCTATCAAATACCTATTTTGATGATTTTCTGGCTATTTTTAAAAGAAAAATATGGTTATACTTTCCGTAATCGTTTAGTTGATAATGTTTTCAATGGTCTAGGTAAAAGTATCATGTTTAACTCTTTAAGTCCTCTAAAACAGATATTCCATTCTCACTTTTTTCTTTAATGACATTCTAACATTATAAAAAAGTTTTTAAGCCAGTAATATCATTACTTAATTTTTGCAGCTGAATTATCTTTCAAAACTTATGCATCTCGAAAACTCTACTTGTATTTTGTTGTCAGGTTTCCCAATTTCTAGAGAAACAAACGTAATTGGACATAAAAATACCACCGTTTTAATTCAAGAATTTCGAAAATTTAACAAACTTACCGAACACCAATAAACTGAGCAACTTCACCCGGAGCTCTAGATTCCGATTCCAGCTTCAATGAATTAACGTGATTTATTGAAAGTACCGTCGCTGCCACATATATGGGCAATCCAAGTGTGCCAACCACGAGGATAAGAAATGCTAAAACACATAAATCCAAATGGTAACCGTAACCCTGCAAATTCAATTACCTAGTAAAAATTAATTTCATAATAAGATGATTAATATTTAGAACTTACTTTTTTTTTTTTCCAAATTTATGATCTATGCTTTCAAACAGTCAAAAAAATCCATAAGCAAATTTATTAGTGTTGATTAGGAATATTGTGCATACTGGTGATTTAAATATTTTATATTCTGGAATTTAATTTCTTAAATTCACATTGCAATGTCAAATTAAGCAATCGCAAAATGGAAAATGAAGAAATTAAATACCTTCTTTAACTTGTTTTCCTTACGATTCACGATAACAGTAGTAATTTGTTGATCCATGAAAATCAGAATACATGCAAGTATTGCTGGTATAAAAGAGACAATTACCGTCCAAAATGGATTACCATTAAAAGGTGGTACATACCAACCACGCCCTTCCCACGTAGGCTAAAATAATCATTATTACTACTTGTTTCTTTATTTGTTTAGAACTTGACACTTTACTAACTAATGACTCGTTAAAAATGAAAGAAAAATCTTTTCCTAATGCCCTTAATTTCAAAAACAGAACTCTGAAAAAAGAAAAAAAAAAACTGAACTTATGGGAATTTCCTATTCATTAAAATTTCGCTTGTATCTGAAAATTTTCAGTTCTTTGCTTCGCTTGTAATTTGACGTAAATTTTCTGTTTGCAGAATTAAAAACATTACTCGGAAAGTGGAAGGGACATTAAGTTTGGGAGTGCTGATACCAACATACATATCAACAGAAGTCATTATAATAATAGCAATCATTACTGCAAAATCACTGAAAATTTGTCGAACTCGTGATGGGAAATAACACGTGTTCCTCATTCTCTGCAAATGCAACAAACTGAATTCAAGTTGGCAGAAAGTTGAATGCTAGTTAAAAATATGCCTGGTAAACATTAAAAAATTGATTTGATACTTTTTCCCAATTGACTAATGGCAAGTACTCTTGACAGTAAAAACACAAATTTATTGAATTGTTGAATATTATGATACTGGTTGAAAGTGGTAACATTTACACAAAGTAGTACTAATGTAACAAAACAGGTTATTAAATGCAAACTGTTTTTGGAGAATACTAGGAATTTTCATGCCAAAGAGCAAAATCTATTTTGATTGGACTTTGTCAAAGTTGGTCTTATTCTAAAGGAACTGTGAGAGCAGAAATTTGTTCCCACAAATTTTAAAAAGTAAAGTGAAATTTCGAAGTGAATTTGCATAATTCAAACTACTGTGAAAACTGTTTGCCTATGAACTTTAGAGCAAATAGATGTAGGACTGAAATCACTAAACATAAACGTAGTTAAGAATAGATGCTTAATTTTTAAAAGATGAGAGATTTATAAAAAAAACAAGTAGTAAACATTTCAAATATTCCTAATTTTAATGACATTTATATTATAATAAAATTCGGAACAAAGCAAAACTTGTCGAAGAAATCTTTTATCTAACTGTGAAGAGCAATGATTTATTTGCAGAGACAGTGATGCAATATTAGGGATTGGCGTTTAAACAGTGATAGTTTTAAATCATTCTCGCAATTAAAAATAAATTTTAATTCAAATTTAAAATTTTAATATAAAAAATGTTGCAATTAGTAATAGTTATTGTATATAGAATTTGAAAATAAGTTCTAGTAATTAAGTTTTTTAAACCTTAAGATACTTTTCAAGGGTCTTTGATCTGCATATTATGATTGTTTAGAATAAATGTGCTGTTCCGTGCTAGACAGAACTGGTTAATAGCCGTGTAGTATAAAATCATCATCCCAATACTTTTTTTTTGAAACTATATTTCAAATCAGTGTTTAAGAGCTACTGACTCCCATCATGGAAAGGAAAAAAAGATTAAAAATTCAAAAAGAAAAAAAAATTATTTAAAAAAAAAAAAAAAAAAAAAACAGAAACTGTGCTATTCCATAAAAAATATAAAATGAAAATACCTTGAACATAGTTGCTAATGTAAATGTGCCCAACATTAGTACCAGTGACATTAAAAATTTATCATAAAGTATGAAACACCCATCCCCTTCCAATGTACCATACAACCTTCTACATCGATCAAAACCAACCTAAAGCGTAATAATGTTAGAGGAATAAATCAATAAATAATTTATTTTCGCATTTGTTTTTGAAATAACATTACTCTGAGAACCTTATCGCTTAATGAAACAGAAATTGAAGAAAACTGAACGACATTAAGAGAGCGTCATTCAAAAGAGAAAATCTATTTGAGAAAAATCCTATTCTGCACTCAAATCTAAAAAAAAAAAAGCTTTCGTTTCAAGATTTCAGAACGACATTACTTATAATAATCAGATTTTATGGAAGAAGAAAATGACTGATAAAGAATATTTGCCTGAGAATAATCGATGAAAGTATTATTATGAACGATATCTTTCCAATTGTTTTTCTCGATGACACCTAGAGCTTTCACTATAGAAACATCCTTACCAACACAGCGACAAATCGCATGCGGATTCTGAAATATTGAACCTAATACAAGAAATTTGGCCAACAAAAAACTCAATATTTAGACAAATGGAATACTGAAAAAGAACAAATATTTTACCGTCTTGTTATACTCAACTATATCTAGCTGTGTTCTGATCTTGACAAGTTTCATTATTGCTTCATATATAAAAATAACAGCTATTAAAGTTGCAAATGATTCTTCCGTAAAGCGCGTTATATATGATACCTGAAAATAACCTTAAAGCTTTAAAATAGTGCTGATGATTTCATGTGTATTGTGCTCTTCAGGAACCTGGTCTAAATAAAATCCGATATTCTATTATTTGCTGCAACTGTACTAATAAAATAACAAATTTGAATAGAAAACAAACCAAAGCGCTAGCATCCGTAATCACCATTACGAATAAGATGAAGGCAGTCCAAACATGAATCCAGAAACGAAATGAGAGGTAGTCAAGATTCAAACTAGCACATAAATCGAACACGATCGTCTCAAATACTAGAACTGGTCCTGTGGAACCAATTATTGTAAGAGGTTGACCACTGAACAAATGATAGATAACACCGCAGATTGCACCACCAAATAAATTTTCCATTGCTGCCTGAAAAATAAGAATTCACAAATGTGACAAAATCATTTGATAACACTTATCTGATAATAAGTAAATTCAATTAATGTATTTTTCCGTTATACCTCGTAATAAACCTAATAATGGACACTTCAGTACTACACATCTTTCACAGACTAAAAAAAAAAAATTTCAACAAAATATTACCATTCTTTGATGTGTTGCTTCTTCCAGCAGTCCTCCAAAGGTAACAATAGGTGCAAGCAATGCAAAATACATGAAACAGAATGTAGCGACACACTGTAGATTTAATGAATCGGTAAAATCGGATAAGTACCAAGGATACTTGCGCTTTATATCCAATATTAAACCACCAAACAAGTGACCAGTTCGCTTTAAGGCCGGATCGTTAGCATGAGAATCTTCCTCCTCCACTTCCTACAATTACATATTTTCTGCATATAAACTATTCATATATTTTATTTTCCTTTTAACTTTTACAGAGATAAATATTTAATCAGTTATTCTCATTTCCTACGCTGGTTGATTATTCAATCAATTTTCTTCCCGAAAATTGACTAAAAGTTTCGAAATTAATGAAAGTATTCTATTTTCAGAAAGCGAACCATTACTTTTTTCGGAGCAGGAACTTTAGTAAGCAATAATTCATCACCATGCTTTCGTTTATCCTGTGATGGCACTTTATTTGGTGGCTCAATTCTGATATTTGGATCCCACTCACCAGGTGGCAATACTGTAACCTGAAAAAGGATAACAGTATGAATTTGTATGAGCCTGAAAGTTGACGAACACTGAGATTTGAAAGTTTAGGTAGCACGGTTAACAAACCTGATCTAAAAATTCGTCAATACCATCCAAAAGATCATCACTATTCCGAGCTTTATACGCTACGTCATGGAATATCTAGAAAAACATGATGCAGCAGAATTGTGCGAAAAGGAAATGAATTTTTCAATTCAGCGAATTAATATAAAGTAACGTGCGTACTGCCAAACAATAATTCATTGAGTTGCATATCACCAAATTCATATCATAATTAGAACTATTTATAGTAATTTATTAAAATTTGGAACAAACTGAAAAATTTTTGAACCTCGTCAGACATAAGCGTAGCAATTGCACGTCCGATTTCTCGATACTGTGCAACATTACCAGTAGGACCTAACAAGACAAAAAAAAATCGTGTTGGAACCGGCACCTGAAATAAAAATTGGAATAAACTGAAAAGTTAACAATATAGCTACGAACAGATAAACGGAATGTATGATATGGGAGCGTCGAGTAATTGCATAACTTCCAGAAGTTCAAAAACACTCTAAATTTTAAAATGACAATTAACGAATTAGCAGAAAATTAGAAAAATCTGATTATAAAAAAAAGGTTTACTTCAGTGAGATCGCCAAGAGTTGCCGCATTTTTCAATCGAACAAAAGCAGTGATATATCGAGTTAGGAAGTCCACTTCACCGATTAGTACATTTGATGCTTCCGCCCCAGACGGTAATTTTTTCATGAAATGAAGATTTCCTTTTACATCGGCATGAGAACCCTCACGTGTTATCTCTTTCGGCGCTGATCCAACCTGGAATGAGAAAAAAAGTTGAGTAAAAATCAATGCAAATCCACTTATTACTGTACTAATTACTAATCAACTTATTATAATATTTCGACAAATAATGGTTTCTAACCATTCGTTTTTAATCAATTTTTAATTAAGATTCATCCCTTCTCCTAGAAGTTAAATTCCAATTTGTAATTGATCAAACCGCTTCGTTTGGTCATTTATTAGTCAAACTTCAATTTAAAATTGTTAAAACTTCAATTAAGTTTTTATTTTTTACAAATACTTTAGTAATTTCTTTAATAAAATTATGAAATAATTTAATTCAACGAAAGTGAAATATGACGAAGTGAACAGCCACGCAAAATCATTGCAAAGCTCATTACCAAATACTTCAATTCCAGTGTAATAGATTTTCTACGCTGACCTCTCACGAAAACAGTTCACAAATAATTGCAAGTATAGTAAAATTAAGTGAAATCATTTCACATGAATATGTAATATATATATCAATTACTTCAAGTAACTCATCAAGCCAAAGTATCAATTACTTAAATATCTCATATGGGGAATAAAACATGTATTAAAACGAATGAACTACATATATATATATAATGAAGTTTTGCGCTTCCCTTAATTTTCCCGGACCTAACTCCAATAGCTCATGCTCATGCTATTTCTTGCTCATTTCATATGAATAGAATCATTCTGACAGAAGCAAAAAAATACAGAAAGAAAGAAAATTATTAGAGAGATTTCTCTCGTCAACATATCCTTTCCTTAATTTCAAATTGAGCATCAAAAATACCACTAATACCACTTAGCCGGATCATGCATAGCATTTAAATGCATCTAATTCGAATTTCGACAGATGAAATGAATGAGAAGTTGAAATCAAATTTACATAGCATAATTGAGAACATGCTAAACAAATCATCAATTCCTCCTTTTCCTCTTCCGCCTTTTACTTAAGAAGTTTGTTGATAATTAGTTCATAAAATCACATCCATCAGTACTCAATTCTTCTTCTCAGAGCCCTCAGCTAATTTTTATATAATTCTCAGTTTCTTCCTGCTTTACCAAATTCATGAAAAAAAAAATATATATATATATATATAAAGATTTCGTCGATTTGTTAAAAGAAATACGAAGGTTAAAAACCGATAAATATATTTCCATCAAATCGAAAACTAACACGATGGAAATATCAGAACGATCTCCGTGAGCAGTTCATATGAATCAAATTTCTACTGGAATAGTAAACTTGCTTAATCAAAGTTTGATCAAATTACTGAAAAATGATAAGCTTCTTCGCTTCCTTTTCTTCTCTTTCTCTTCCGCTTATCACGTCACTGCAGCACTTTGAAACAAACTTCAATTTATGTCTAAATACAGTTAATTACTTCACCTATACCCTATATTGTTCCATATCAACTAAGGCTTCCGAGCTCACTCATCCATTCTAATTTTATGAATTAAAAAAAAATGTCAAATTTGTGCCTTAAAGCTTAAACTTACATATGAAAACTCAATAAATGATAAACCATTCATTTAGAGATTAGAAATTTTTGAAAATATTTAATTTATGCAGAAGGAATAAAAGCACTGCAGAAATACCGCAGTTATACACGTCTGCTTGATCTATAAATAAAGGCAATTTTAAAGAAGTCTAAATTTTAGAAGCAATGCAAACCTCTACAAAAATTAACAAACATTCGAACCTTATACTTGTTTAATACAAATAATTTCTAAAAAAAAAAAAAAATTACGTACATAATCGGGCGTCTTACGAGCGATTTTGCAAATATACATTAGGGGGTCGAACGACTTCCCAGTAACAACTAAAGTAGTGCTCAGTACCAAAATCTAATCTAAGGGTTGATGATGCTAATATCCAAACAATTAAAAGTGGGAAGTTTTGGAAAGAAGAAAACATCAATAAATTATGTAATACTAAAATTGGAATCAGGAAAATAAGAGAAATTAGGATTGAAGTGGTAATAAAAAAATATTTAGGAAAAAATGTCATAAAGTAATTTTAAATGAGTTTTAGTAATCTAATAATTTATATTACGAAATAAACACCCCTTACTCGCATCTTTTTCAAAACATTAAGTCCAATTACGTATAAAGTTACGTATAAATTACGCATAAAGTACAAAGCTGTAAGAGATTTACGAGTAGTTGAAAATACTAATAAATCCAAGAAAAAAAAGAATTACTTCCGGTAGTTTCAAATTTGGCGTTTTTGACGATGTTTCAGTTCCTTCGTTTATCGTTTCCTCCTGCAACTTTCCCAGATTCCGTCCATGTGAAAATGTTTTGCCGATATCAGATATCGAGCGCACTGCATTCAAGAAACCACTTTGAGAAGAGCCATTACCATTTCCTGCTCCACGCGCCTCAATTAGAAGGACATGTCACTTATATTTTTGCCTTCCATTCTTTCAACTTTAAATTCCTCTATTTGAATAAAGAATTGGGTCCGTTCGCTCCATTTTTATTTAAATAGTACAGAAACTCAACCTAATAATAACCAAATAATCTTTGTTTTCCTGAATCCAAGAAATATGAACCAAAGACAAAAAAAGACAAGAACGGCAAAAGTGCATGAAAGTAAACGAATTCAGAGAAGATTAAATTAGAGAACATAAAATTTGAAATGATTCATTATTAAGGTTTTGTAAGGCTCAAATTTCACTCTAACTTGAAAAACCGAAGTGATAAGAAATGTGTACCAAATTAAATGCATTCACAATATACACAACACATGTTGCAATTAATGGCCATGGTTTAGAAGGAAATGAAGATAATACTAATTGAGTAACGGAAGATATTACCTTATATACATTCGTAGTAGCGAAGCAACTTATATTGATATTGACATTGAGTGGAAGAAATGAGTGGTAAAAGATGACATTAGATGGAGTTTTTATTACTGTTTTAATATAAGAAAGAAAACTGAAGTTAATTAATCACCTGTTCATACTGATGAGTATGCCTCTTTGAAAGTACATTACGAACTTCATCAACTTCCGTCTCTTCTAGCTGCCCTGATGCCACTAAATGTTCCAAAACCTCTTCTGAAAATTCATGTCTTTTTAAATTTGTCCACTAAATGGAAATAATGTGTGTTTATAGCTCGTGGATTAAAAAAATAGTATATCAGGAATGTACTTTCACACTCATCGAAGAAAAATATGATTCAATTTTTTACATACAGAAATTAATCGAGTGGAAGATACAAAAACTAAGCTGACCAATGAGTTCTGAAAATTCTTTCGCTTCAGAATCCATGATGATAACACCGTTCATCAAGCAAGAGCGTAGTTGGAAAAGCGCATGCAATGAGAGAGTAGCAACATGCGGCTTTGACCAACGATTGCCACCTTCCTCGACATCTTCTTCGAATTTCACCCATCGGGCTGTTTCACGCCATTCTTCAATCGTTCCGGAACGGGTTAATTCACCCATCTCCGTAAATAATGCTGGTAACTCAACTTGTTCTTTTAGTAGAAACATAACTCGTGCGCCAGGAGCTGAAATCCTTGGCATGAATTTGCGGTGAAATCAAGTTTTTAGTACCATTCTGTTTATTTATTATAAATATGAATTGCAGTTTATAATAAACCTCATTGACTTGTCGATGGATAGCACTGGACACGGGGAAGTAGAAGTTTAGCAGAAATTATTTTAAATTTTGTTGATAAATTCAATGCATTTTTGAATTAGTACTTTGCATAAGAACAGTTTTCATTGAAAAACTAATTTTTACATTGTTATAGAAGAAAGTGTGACTCTTTTCAGATAGATCTTCAAGAAAATATCATTTTTGTTGTTTGGATTGGCTTACATCCTTCTGTAAGCCAATCCAAACAACAAAAATGATATTTGCTTTGCGGACATTTCAGTGGTCATTTTAGCGAGACACCAATAAAATGAGTTCGACTTGGATTCTGTGATTTTCTAAGTGGTAAAAAGGTAACAAAAAGTACTGTAGTAATATACAATAATGTTACAACTTCCGGCAATTTTCTCTTTTCTTACTCCTTGAATGCCATTTAAATACCAACTATGCAAAAGGCTATCACTCAATGAGAAAGTATCTTACCAAGATCAGCCAGATGTTGTGCCTGATCCATACTGTCGAAGTGACGGGTCATTCTTCGTTTCCGCTCAGTAACATCACTCATTTCAACATAAGTATCCCAGATGCTTCCACGATGTTTCAGGTTATGATGCTCGGTTTGTTCAGGTTCCGCAAGAGGTGCTCGTTGTGTATCATCATTGGATGCTGGTGGCGGTATTACATTAACAATAGTTGATTGTTGCCTCGAAGAAAGTAACGAAGAGGATGTTACAGGCGGTGATGGCGATGCTGACACAGATGACCCTTTACTGCTATTATCACCGCCATCACCATCAGCCTTCATATTCGACATATCTAACGATATAGTAATATTCAGGAATAAATGTAAATGTACACATGTGTATGTTTATGTATGCGCAGTAATGATTTACGTCCACAGAAAAGCAGCACCAACAACAAGTCCAGGACAATGGATGACGATTTTGGCCATATTCAGGATTTTCAAGAAACGTTTGGTCCTCAGTGTTAAAGCGTAGATAATAGAAAGTAAGTTTTGAGGAAGGCTTATAAAATGACCTACGCTGGAATCATATATAATCTCCTCAGGAACTACTACACCATGAACATAAGAAATTCAGAAACTGGTGGCTTATGGGAAAACAGGACGACTGCTAACTTTCAGAGTGTAGTCTAGGAATCGATCATCCTTCTTTCATCTTCAGGAACAAGATGTGCTCCACGTACTTCCCCGTGTGTATCTTTTGTTCTCTCTGCTAGTGTGTACCACAACTACCTATATCTATATATATATAGATAGTTGTGTACATACATACATACATACATACACACACACACACACACACACACACACAAATATATAATGTTCCTGCTAGTAATTCTAAGCTAAGCGAACGCCGCTCCTCGACCGATATGGCCTGCCGGTTTTGATCACAGCACCTTTACGAATGACCAGACAATAATGACGACATAAATGCTGTGCACTTTTGCCTCTTCCCAATTTTGTGGTTATGCTTTGAGGATGTAAGTGCAGGCGGGAGATATGACTTTCACCTGTGCATCTGCAAACAAACTTTCCAGTCCACAAAACACAAAAACACGTACTAAGCAGAACTGACAAAGTTATGCTTGTTCCCCGAATACTGATAATAACATCTATTAATACTGCTAACACTTTATGGTTCCACAGCTGACATTCCATTTAGAGGTAGCATGTAAAAAGTATGTTTTTAACCTTCCGGAAGGGAAATCTTTGTATGTTTTTGAATTTGTAGAATAATGGGTGAAATGTATAACAACAATTTAGAGTGAAGTGTGTCACACAGACTCATTAAAGTATAACTACTTTACATTAATGCTTACTTTTCAAAGAATGTTTCAACACTGCAAATTTCTTTTTCGCTTCTCACCCATTGTTAAGCTGAGCTATGATTCATTACAGGCGGTGGTGGCGTTTCCAACAAGGAAAATATATTTGCATGAAAAGTGAAGATGGGAAAAGAAAAAGTGAAATTGTAACTAAAATAATTATGTCTAATGAAAATATTTCAAACCTGCTGAATCAATGACACATAAAAAAAGAAGGAACAAGTCCGAGGAACAAATAATCGGAGAAGAGGCAAACATGTATAAATAAGTATAATGAAAAATTCCACTGATATTACTAGGAAAAAGCAAATATCGCTAGCAGTTTGATAAAATATGACATTGCAACATAGAACAGGTTAGATTTAATGTTTACTTTTCCAGATGTTTATAAATTATAGCAAAAAATTTTAGTGGCGGATATTTTATTGTCGTACTTGTATAAAAAATGAAATTAAAAAAGATTAAATAACATTCCTTGAAAAGAACAAGTACATGTTATAAATTCATTAAGTAAGCAAATTTTAAGAGTACAAGATAGTGTGCTAATAGCTAGCCATATCTGTACATACATTCTAGACCAAAACTAGAACAATTTCAGTCCATGAAAAAAAAAAAAAAAAACATCAAAATTCAGCTAACCCTCTGCCCATTTTTTAATTTTATAAAAATATTTAACAAGTAAAACTTTCTAATTTCCCACAATAATTGATTGCATCATTTAATTTTTCCACAGCTTGCTGAATGTCATTTGTGATGCTATAGGTTTCATTAATTTTAGGCCAACTCTAGCAACGAAACGTTTCATTTCACATTTTATTACCTTGATGATGAGTCATTCATCTAATGTGTTTGTTTCTTCTTTAACTTAGAATACTTGTATTGCTCAAAAATATATACAAAAAATGAGCGAGTGAAAAGGAAAACTTCAGAACAAATGAGATGATCGGTTTAATTCAAGTGAAGGATATTTCATTGAATATCAATAGTCGTTATTATCTATTTCCAATCAGTCCATTCTCCAAAAAGAATATCACTTTTCTTAAAGAATGTGGAAGAAGCAAGAGAAGGAAATAAGCTAGATGGGTCTTCATATCTTGTCAGTAGAATTTACAAAACGCTCAAACTGAAACGTTGCTGATAATTTTAAATTATGAACTAAGTTAATGCCATGGTTAAATATTGCCAATACCTCACAAAACCAAAACTGTAGAGCATATGTCAAGTTGAACGGCACCATTAATCCTTATCACCACTTGTTATCAATCCGTTCACTGTAATTCCTGTCGCTATCACTATTCTTTATTGTTACTATCATTGTTATTACTTATACTCATTATAACTGTCAACCATCACTATGAAAAAAAGTTAAATGGTAGCTATTAAATGAAATGAAAAATGATTTGATAAGTAACTGCATGGACCACAAGGCACCACTGCGCCCATGGAGTTGAATTTCATTAGTAAAATGCAATCGTAAAGCAAAATCACTATTTCGATGTATGTTTTCTATCTATCTTCACTCTTTCTCCTCCTGCCATGCACCGCTATATCCTCTAGCATTCACAGATCCATCCATTCATAAGGTAACAATATTACTCACTGATACTACAACTATAACGATCACACTCTGTCAACGTTCTTTCTATCAACACTGTCAAGTGCTAACATTTATCGATTCTTCAATTCTTTTGAAATCCGAAATAATCTAACAAAACGGAATCCATTAACAACAACAAAACAAAGGCAGGAGGAAGCAGGGAAGAAAACAAGAAAGCATATCAGCTGATAAATATTTAGAAATGAAGACAGCATAGGGATGAGATTGAAGGGAAGAAGGAAGGAGAGAAGATTTAAGAGTGAATCAGTAATAAGTTCTAATTGCACTATCCGTTGAGGTTGCATGTTGTTGCACTGAAATGGGAAGATTACGGAGAGGAAAAGGCAAACGTTTGGCCTAAAACATCACAGATATCCTAACTAGAAGATAAAAGGATGATGATGGAACACGCTGTGAAGCATTGATTATCATTCCACTGTTAATATCCTATTAACTCAGATCAGTGATACTCACCAGAAGTATCTGTTAATGATCTAATCGAGTACCACCAGCACATTTCTTCTTTAATCAAGCAGATAATTGCTAAGAACGGGTCCAGTCTGTTAGGCGACAAAAACGAAAATTATGCTTATTAATTGCTACCAGTAATTTAGCATAAAGCGAATAAAAAGAATTCCTAGAAATCCAACAGATATTTTACGAAGAAATTGGTAAAAAATATCAAATTTAAAAAAAGAAATTTGAAGAATGCTTCAAAAATAAGTACTAAATAAATAATGAAGAATTAGAATAGTAGAAGATAAAAAATGGTAGCTTGAAATTGAAGTGCAACATTAATTCTTAAGAGGGGAAGGGATAGAGGAAAAGGGAGACAGAGAGGGAGAGACAGAGGGAGAGAGGTGAAGAGGAGAGGAAGAGGGAGAGAAAAAAAGCACCAAGAAGATTTTAGCCAAAAGAATCGATACAACTAGCTTTAAATATCCTATTCTTAAGATTTCATCATACGTCGACATCATTCAGAAAGTATTGAATGGTGAAAAATCTAAGCCTACATGCATTGGTAAGTTAACCGGAACCGGTAAGACGACTGATCATTTATGATAACTGGAATAAGGTGATATAGAAATGCCATTGGGAAAGCTAAGTTTCGTTTTTTTCATACTATTTTTAGTTTCATTCTCAACAGACGGGATATTAAAGTTTTTTAAACTTTTTTTTGAGTTTTGCATTTAACATTTCGTACATAAGACGATATAAATTCCTTCTTTTGTCAACACATATATAAATACAATTTAGTAAGAGGAGACAAGTCTAAACTAGACGAAATTAAAAATTCAAAAATACAAGAAATTGAAACAGGGAAGAATGAAGATGTCGATTTTTTGGCCAAAAGTTATTCTCTTATTCAGTAACATAGTTTATTAAAGTTTAAGTTTCAGGAGTTTTTATTTTTCTATAAAACTTTAAATCAAATTCAAAAGTTTGCAAATAACTAATGAAAAGTGGAAAAACTTTCCAGCTCGATGATTCTTACTTATTTTGCTAATTTATTCAAGTTTAACCGTCCGTGAATATACGTGGAATTCAGTCCCTCCTAAGAATAGGGTTGCTGTCGTTTGGCAGATGTGAGGAGGGTGGCCTAAATTATGTAACTAAATATGAGGGTAATATGCTTAAGCACTACAATTTCTCTCCTCAATCATTGATTTGAATTTTTTAAATTTAATTTCAAATTTGCAAATTGATAAATAATTTATAGCATAAAGTTGATAAATATACTAAACGCATGAATATTTACAAATGCTAATTTATGAAAGAAAATGTAGTAGAAAACTACAAAGGTGAAAGAAAGAGGACGCAATATTTTAAACGATATTGACAGGAAAATTGAAGAGCAACTGCTCATCCTTCTCTATCCTACCGATCGATAATATTTGTGATTTTTATTATATTTCAAAAAATGTCCACACAGCAAATTGCGTAATTTGCTAGTATGTTCTAAATGAATTTTATAAAATTATTTCAATCATCCAAATCATTCCTAACAAGTGAAAAACGGGTCAAAAATCTGCATAGTTTACAGAGGTAAATAAATAAATAAAGGTATTTGCACAACATTATGTCATTAAGATGCTCTAGGAGAAGAAAAAGGAAGAATAAAGAAAGAAAGATGAAGATATCCTGACATGAAGGACAGTTTTAGCCAGAGAAATGATGAACTAAAATGCCTCACCTAATAATGATATCTTTGTAAACAGAAAAAATTCTTCTGTTACCTTATCTTACTGATGATAATGAGTGTTAATGATGATAACGTTACAATAAATTACTTTGGTCCAAATAATTAATCGGCAATTTTAAATTTCATCAAAGAAAATTGTAGAAAATAGACATTTGACCTTAACCTT